TGTAAAATGTTGAGAGATTCAAACAAAAAGTAATCAATAAATAGAACAAAATAAAAAAAATAAAAGACTGCAAGTGACGTCGCTAGCGGAAGCGCAAGTGTCTGAGAGTGCAAGTCTGAGAGTGCAAGTGCGAGGCTGCAGCTAGACCCTCTTGGCTCAGAGCCGATCCTCCCTATATGCAAAATACGCAAGCTGTGGGGCCCCCGAAACACCAGGGGGCCCCCTTGCTCTCAAAAACGATTTAATTTTAGTTTCATTTTTTAATTTGGCCAGCGGTTATGAAAACATGAATGATAATTTCTTTTAATGTGGTGCGCTGTCGCCCTTTCTACGTAAAAATCAGTCAAATCATGTAATGTGAATGTCGTACAGTCTTGCTCCAGACTAAAAAACGAGTTGAAAGCGTACCGAGCCGCGGAAGAGACACTGTTTCTCAAGTGCTTTCCGCAAGCGCGAGTCGAGACGGAGTGAAACACGGACAAATGCGTTTCATTCATTCGTTCATAACCATTAATACCCCATTCCATCGCCCAATACAAATCCGCAAAATACTGATCTTAAATGTATTTAAATACAAAATACATTTGATTTTTTTTTCAAAGGCTTTAAAATACAAAATAATATTTTGTATTTCAAATACATATTTTAAATACATGTATCTGAAATACTGCCCACCCCTGGATTCTAATAAGTTAAACTAAGTCCATACAAAGAGCTCACTTAAACTAAAGCGTAATAATTTTTTATTTGAAGTCTGTAGAAACTGATGACTTTATAATTTTATGATCTACTTGTATATTATTTTCTTTCTTTTTTTTTTAATCCATAGACGTTGACTTTGACTAAGTGTTGACTCTGTGTTTACAGGTATTCACAGGTGTGTTTTCTACCTGTGTTTCTGTTTATAAATGGAGGTGAGCACTAAAATGAAGAATTATTTGTAAAGCAATTCTACCATTCTTGCCTGCTGAACTTGGTATCTTGTATCATACTCTCTGTTTTCAGTGTCTCTGCAGGAGACTGTTGTGGGTTTTATTGGAGGCTCTGCTGTTTTACCTTGTTCTTCTAAAGATCCTCCGCATACCATTCAAGGCATAGGTGTGTATTGGAGACACAGCAGCCAGAATGTTTATGGCATTATTTATGGTAAAGTCTCTGTGGAAGGACAGGATCCAGAGTACAGGAACAGAACTGAAAGCTTCCCCGAGGAGTATATGAGAGGAAACTTCTCCATCAAACTCAACAACCTTCAACACACTGATGCAGGAGAATACAAGTGCTACATCATAGAGGAATCAGTAGTCTGGAGAGTTAAGCTTTTAATTAAAGGTGTGTAAAACCACATGATTTAAACAGTTTATATTTCAGCCTATATTCTTTTGCGTAGACATTATGAAAGGATGCACTTATGTTTTCTTGTGTTTTTCCTCCAAAACTGTGTAAATCTTTTGTCTTCCAGAGAGACCAGAAAGGCCAATCCCCAGTGAAGGCACAAAACCAAAACCAGAGATGATTGTAATGATCATTTCCGTTCTGTTTATTGGTATTATATTTTCATTGGCTGTAAGTTTATTCAGCAACATAATCAACATCAGTACTTCATATTGTAATATATATATATAATTGATTGCTGATTTAATATTAAAGAAAATATTAACAATTTAAAAATATTGTATTTATTTTAATGTTTTTATTTATTCAATCTGATGAAAATTATAGAACATCAAACAACTCAAAAGTAAACCACCCTGTTGACAAATTAGAGGGGAATTTTATAAAAAAAATAATAATGTCACAAAATCATAAAAAAAATAAAAATAAAAAATAATAATAATAAATAAATAAAGATCTTAATGGTCTTAAAAGTAGGCATAATGTTTATACAGAATATTATTTCTTATAAATTATTTTTTAAATAATATTTTAAAATTAATTATTACATCTTCACTCATTCATCCCTGAATCATAAAATGGCACAATTTCCTTGTGTCAATATATGTATTGAATATAGTAACTGAAAACTACACCTAGGGGAAACACTTATGATTATATATTGTGCAATGTCAATGACAGCTTCATGTTAAGCAGAGACTTTTTTTAATATGGGGCACAGGCAGTTACACACAGTAACTGTAGACAGTCTACAATCACATTATCTATGATCTACTTCATGCAGAAACTATTTTTAAACACTTGCAACAGCATTTTTTTTCTTTTGAGGTGAATAAAATGGTGGTGAGTGAAACACACTGTCAAGGTGAAAGCATTTGGTTAGTTTACACATCCTGTGTCACAGTCTTCAGCTGGTGTGCCCAGGATGGCCACCAGAGGACACTGTGTGTTTTGTGTAAGCACATGGCTTATGTTGTGTTTGTTTGGTGCCATGTGCTTTCTCCTGTCGATTGTCTGACCCCGCCCATCTTGTTGCCTCATTATTGTTTCAGTTATTCCACCTGGGTCTCCCTTGTTACCTGCCCTACTTAGTCTCCTTGTGTTAGCAGTCCTGTGCTGTTTCGTTATTTGCCGTATGTGGTCTAATGTGTCTGTGTGCTCCTTGTTTAAGCCTGCTCTGCCTGTTCCTGTGTGGCCTTCCCTCGACTTGCCGAGCTGTGCCCTGTTCTGGCCTTTCTGCTGGTTTTTCCCCCTTGGGGAAACTTCTTCCCCCACCTGGCTACACCGACTCTGCTCTAAAGGACATTTTTAACCTCTCCCTGGACCAACCCCTACTGCATTGGGAGATGGAGCTGGTAGAATCATTGGATTTTTGGAACTTCTCCAGTTACTTGCAGCTCCGCAAGGAGAGAAAGGTAGTACACCATCACCAGACTCTACACACAGGGACTGTCCCATCCCCACCTTCCTTGGCAAGTCAACTCCAGGACCCCTTATCGACCCCCACTTTCAAGCATAGGTCGAGAAAGAGAAGGGCAGCAAGGTCCACTCCTGTCAATCCAGAGCCCACTCCAGAGGAAGCAGATCCAGAGTTTGCTTCAGAGGAGGTGGTTTCAGTGGCTCTTAACATCATGGCTGCCTTTCCAGAGTCTCATCCCGACATGGCTGCCAGTCCAGAGCCTCTTCACAAGATGGCCGACAGTCCAGGGCCTCTTCACAGCATGGCCGTCACACCAGAGTCTTCAGCTGTTGGATACAACGTCAGTGTTCCTGGGTATCATGAACGTGGCGCATGAAGCCTTTAAGGTGGGCCCAAGGCCTTTGAGGCAGGTTTCCAGTTTTGCAGACCCACGTTTATTGTCAGTGCGAATAGCTGGCATCTTTTCGGTGGTCCCAAGTCCGGTGGTCCTGGTGGGCTTGGCGAGTCCGGTGATCCTGGAGGAGCCGACTTTGGTGGTCCCGAGTCTGGTGGTCCAGGAGGACCTGACTCCGGTGGTCCCGAGTCTTGTGGTCCTGGAGGGCCCGGCACCTGTGGTCCTTAGTCCGGTGGTCCTGGAGGACCCGACTCTGGTGGTCTCAGAGATCACCACAGAGCCGCCCAATTTCACTGCTGCTGCCAAAGTCAAGAAGGCTGTCTTTGCCTTTGGCCTCTGGACTGTTCTGCGTGCATGTGAGCATTCAGAGTCCACTCCAGAGTCTGCTCCAGTCCGGGAGCATTCAGAGTCCACTCCAGAGTCTGCTCCAGTCCGGGAGCCCTCAGAGTCCACTCCAGAGTCCACTCCAGAGCTCGCTCCAGAGCCTACTCAAGTCTGAGTCCACTCCAGAGCCCGGTCCAGTCCTGGAGCCCTCAGAGTCCACTCATAAACCCGCTCCAGTCCAGGAGCCTTCAGAGTCCACTCCAGAGCCTGCTTCAGTTCCCCCCGAGGTGGCGACTTCTGCTGCAGAACCTCCTGAGGTGGCAGCATCCACTTCAGCTCCTCTCTGGGTGGTGGCGCCCAATCTTGAACTCTCAGTCTGTCTTGTCCCAGCCAAGGAGACAGTTGCTGAACTATCTGCCGGTCCTGTTACGGCCATCATGGCTGTTAATAACCTCTCTGTGCTCTTCATTGCAGTCCTGCCTGAGCCACCAGGGGGGTCATCTGCCTTGTCAACTCCGTTGAGGTGGTCATCGGCTCCCCCCTTGCTGCCTGCCAAGCTCCCGGCTTTGCCATGGTCGCTGGCCGGGGTTGCTGTTCGGCCGGAGCCTCATTGGTCTGTCCCTCTGGCTCCGCCCTGGCCTCCTGCTCTGCCGGCTCCACCCTGGTCACTTGCTCTGCCACAGTCTCCAGGTCCTCTCCCCCTCAACGGGCCTGGCCCACCATCCCTCCCCCTGTTCCGCCTCCTCTCCACCCACCTCCTGGACTCTTGTTTTGTGCCTCGGACTGTGGAGCGTCTGGAATCCACTCCTTAGAGAGGGGGTTGTGTCACAGTATTCAGCTGGTGTGCCCAGGATGGCCACCAGAGGACACTGTGTGTTTCGTGTAAGCACATGGCTTGGCTTGTGTTGTGTTTGTTTGGTGCCATGTGCTCTCTCCTGCCGATTGTCTGACCCCGCCCATCTTGTTACCTCATTATTGTTTCAGTTATTCCACCTGTGTCTCCCTCGTTACCTGCCCTACTTAGTCTCCTTGTGTATGCAGTCCTGTGCTGTTTCGTTATTTGCCGTATGTGGTCTAATGTGTATGTGTGCTCCTTGTTTAAGCCTGCTCTGCCTGTTCCTGTGTGGCCTTGCCGAGCTGTGCCCTGTTCTGGCCTTTCTGCTGGTTTTTCCCCTTTGGGATAGCTTTTGTTAGTTTTGTTTATTTTCATTATTAATAAAGAGCCTGATTACTGCATCTTTGAGTCCTCGCCTCATCTCTCCACACAGACCGTGACATCCTGCTGCAGTGAGACTTTGTGGTTCATTGTTTGCATGATGCAAAGCCAGTGAAACATTAAACATTTTACTGCGCTTGTCTCAGTTTTATTTATAAAGAAATGAGTCACATGTATTATGTTGAAAGAGATATTGCATTATTTAACAAGTTATCAGAAAAACATGCATCAAATGCATGTCTTATATCTGGTAGCAGTTGTATGATTCAGGAAAACTAATATATTTACCCAATGTGGAAACTTTTACCTCAGTATAATGAAAGAGCAATGGGCCAACCAGAATTAGCATTAATAACTAACACTAACTACTAACACATTGGCTTCATCACACATTGAGGTTAAGAGTCAAGTAAGCTGCAAAACTCATTTAGAAATTAATAACTCACATTAATCACACTTGCACATAATGGCTGCGTCCGAAACCGCCTACTTCTCTACTGTATAGTAGGGTAGAAGCAGTAGGCGAGCGAAGAAGTATGTCCGAATTCTTAGTATTCATAAAAGAGTAGGCGAGAATTACCTGGGTGGCGTATTAATTTGTGCGTCTACTTGAAGTGCGTCCGAATATGCCTACTTGCCTACTATATAGTATGTGAAGAAAGTAGTATGTCTGAAACCTCAGTATTCATAAAAGAGTAGCCGAGAAATCCCCGGATGTCTTACTGCTTCAGTCCAGATTCTGAAGTGCTCATTGATGGATACTTTTCTATCCCAGGAGGCCACGCGAGAGGATACGTCATCATCGAATGTGAAGGAGAACAGCGACGAAGGTGTTTACAAATGTAAGTATTACAAACCAAATACAGGGTTCCCTGTGTTAAAATCGCATTTGCAGAAATCAAATGACATTGTGCTGTTAAAATGACCGCTTTTGTATTGTGTTTGTGCATTTTTATATGATCTGAAATGTCTGCAGACTGGTGTGAGCTGTGAAGATGGAGAAGTCCACAGCAGTATCCTGGACGTGGTCCAGTGTCATGGATGAGACGCTTCATCACTCCACCTCTTACTGCCTCATCAGGACCGGATGTTGCTGTGGTCTCTTCATCCTCAGTGACCCCAGAGCCAGTGAGAACATCTAGAAAAAGACCAAAAGACACTGAGGATGTGAGTTTGGTCAAGTTGGTTCTGTTGGTTTCGGTTCATACAACATCAGTCAATGGAGCCCGAGTTTCAGAAGCTTCAGAAGCATCATCAAATAAAGTCATGAAGCTTCTGAAAGTCAGGCTCCATTGACTTATATTGTATGAACAGAAACCAGCAGGACAAACCTGACCAAAATCACCTTTTGTGTTCAGAAGAAGAAAAAAAAAACAAGGATTGAACAGTGTGGAGGGAGGCGAGTAAATAATGACTGAATTTATATGTTTGGATGAACTAACCCTTTAAACCCCCCAAAAAGAAACTGTATCAAATATATGCATGCATTTATATTATAGTAGTACCTTGAAGAAATAAACTTTAACAAATAAGCAGCTTTATTGAGCGTGTAGGGTATCAGACCAAATCAGACTATTTAAGATTCGATCAAGAACATGGTTGAAACACGAGGAGCCGAATTCCACAGAAAGGCCCAAGACGACAGGATGTTCGTAAATCAGATCCTAGCGCCAGCCAGTCTGAAGCAAGCCTAACCAACCAATTCTTTCACAGAACAGCTTGCAACATTAACACACAACTTGTATGAATGTGTGAGTGCATGTGTTTATGTGATAGATTAGTTTATATTGTCTTAGATTTATCCAATAAAGTCTTATTGATATTGAAAAGAGAAGTATCTTGTGTTTTGTGCTTACAAGTTAATGGTTTAAACTGCCGATCTTGTTACTGTGCTAATTAATAGTGTTTTCACTATATTTTGGATTTTAATATCCATTGCAGAGTTGATGTTATACGGCTCGTTCAATGAATCGCTGGCCGACTCAGTGATCGAACCAGTAACCTTCTGCTGACCAGTGCAGTGCTTTAGCTTCATTACTTTTGTGGTGTAGTGGGCTATGACAAAAATTAGCATGTAATTGTAAACATATGAAATGAAATGCTGACAACATGAATTGTAAAATGTTTTACTCTGTGTAAATGTTTTACAGGTAGTCGTGCTCATGGAGAGCAGGCACACAAATGTTTGGAGCAGACGGAGCGGCAGCCAGATTGTCCCGCACATGTTCTCCTGTCCTGCTCTTGCATCATGATTGTGTGCTTCAGGGGCGTCATCATGGTTTTCCTCATCCTCTCTGTGCAATCAGGCAACGACAGCCTCAATGTCCCTTTCTTATCCATGATCAGATTCAGTCTGACTGCAGCAGTGATGGTCGTGATGGAAGGCAGAGACAGGTGAAGGTGGACACGGTGGGCAGCTGCAGAACTGGCACAGCTGTGTTGAGATGCAGTAGGAAGTGGATTCACCGTCTGTAAATACATGTTTTTTAGAACAATATGTTTGAATAAAGCTTTGTTTCATGTGTCGATGACTTTTCATGTGACGATGATATTTATTTATTGTCATGGTTACTTTTATTTATTCTTTTACTCATTTATTCATGTTTCCTGTTGTCAGTAAATAAAATATTAAAAATGTTCATTAACTTGTGCATTAATTCATTACTTGACTGAAAAT